ATTATAAACATATCAGAATCCCACTACAAAAAAAATAAAAAATAATCTTAGCTATTTTATTTAAATAAAAATTATTAAAAATTAAAGATTAAATAAGAGCTTTAAAAAAAGAGTTCGGGGGTTGGGCTTATTAGGCTCACTTTTAGCTAAAAAAAGGCAGGCACCAGTAGTCCTCTAAAGGCAGGGTTTCATGGTTGATATTTTTTTAAGTTGCTTTGTTTGTCTAAACCCCCCACCCTAAAAATAACAACGGAAACCACAATTTTGGTTTCACATTAGCCATTTCAAGTGATTGGAAAATTAAATTTCCAACCTTTTGGATAAAACTCATTTTAATTATTTTTTACCTGAAAACATCTAATAAAAACCCTAAAGACCCCAGTAAACCCCCTTTGACCTTAAATTAGCCAAAAGATAATCTAAAAAAGAAAAACCAATTTGAATTTAAAATTTCTTGAAAGCTTGAATTATTTTTTATGAGTAAAGTAAAAATAATAAACACCTCATCAAAACTCTTTTCATTAATACCCAAATCAATTGTTTTTGTTACTGAAATCAAGTTGACGATAACTTTTTCTTTTTTATCGTGTAATTCAATAATTTTTTTTCTCTTCACTTAAACTTGAGAACTAAAATAAAATGAAAATAAAGTTTGAGATCAAAATATAAACTAGCAAAATTAAAGGGACTAAAAATTATTTTGGCATTTATTTAGGTATAGAGAGATGTTTTCAAGAGAAAAAAAAACTTTTGGTATTCTTGTCTCATGGTCAAATTGGTCTCCAAACCTTTTCATAAGCATTTAAATCATTTGTTTTTATAAAATTGAGTATTAAACCAATGATAAGATGTTATTTTATAATGTAACAACTTTATAAAAATAAATTATCAAGTTTAATTTCAACTGAACACAATATCGAGAGATAAATTTTAAAAAAAATTAATGATCAAATTAAAAAAATATTAGAAGGAAAAAAAATAGTTTATTGTTTGAATAATAACTACAAAAGAGAGACCTTGTATTTTTTTCATTTTGGTTAAATTGGTTGCTTAATTTTTTTTTGTAAGCAATAAAATGATTATTTTTTTTTGTAAAATCAAGAATCATTCTAATGCTAATTTTTTTTAATATTATAATAATTTTATAAAAAATAAATTAAAATAAATTATAAAGCCAAATTATAACCAATTTGCCAAAAAATACATTTATTAAAAAATAATAACAAAATTAAAAAATATTAAAAGGATAAAAAAATACATTGTTGCAATATACAGTGCGAGTCTCGCAAGTTATTTGATACAACTTCTACTTTTAGGTTCTTTTCAAAAGTGTTTTTAGTTTAAAAAGATATTAAATTAATTTTTTTAATATTTTTAATGTGCTAATATTAAAAATTAAAAAATTATTTTTATATATTTTTAAATAAAAATTTATTTTAAAAAACACCCTATGGTACATTTCCAAACATCCCTTCAGCACAACATGAATGTATTAGTTCAAATTGTGTAATTTATTACCATCTAATTTCGTGGACCTATCAATCTGTTATATATACTCTATTCTCAAATTTATACAGAAAACTTAAAAAAAAAACATAGAAATCTTTTGGTGGCATTGTTTTTACTCAGTAATTTATTAATCCCATTCCATAATCTAATCTTATTATTTAAAAGTACTAAACACCTTTAATTATATTTTAAAATAAAATAAAATAAAATATTGATATTATATTTATATTTGTAAAATATAGTTAAAAGCCGAAAGTGTTTCTTTTATAGTACTATGATATTCAAATTTGGATCATTACTTATCAACAAACTTAATTTCTTTTAAAAACATTCTGGTCTGCTATATTTTATTTTTGTGATTCGGAATGCTTCACCGGTAAAATATTTATTCAAAAAATAATATACCAATTAAAATCTTGAAAACTTATGATATTTAAATGCTTCTTGTTTTTGTTTGAATTTTAATAATTAAAAATTAATATTTCAATATAGGATTAAAATAAAGATATTTTAAATCTCACCTGTTATGGTGGGAACTGGGAAGTCTAAGAAGTTTTACCTGCAGTCTAGGCAATACGGAGGGGGGAAACTCACCACTCAAAATTGAAGAAACACTGCCTTTGCCGCCAAAAATAGCGCCAAAAGAAAGAGAGAGATCTCAATTCAGAGAGACCAAAAGAGAAACAGAGAGACGAACCTATGCAATCCAAAATAAGCTCCTTCTTCAAGTCCCCTTCTTCTTCTTCTTCTTCTCCGCCAAAATGCCTCCAAGAAGACCCACCTTCCTTTTCGGACGTTGACTTGGCTATATGGCAGAATTCCCAGCACCAATTTGTCAATACTTACGCACGTCGAGCCGACCCAAAATTAATTCTTGGGTAAACACTCTTCTTCAAAGATATTCCCTTTTCTTTTCAGCTAACGTGTTTTTTCTTTCTATTTGGTTATTGTAATTTTTTTAATGTATAGCTTGATTTGAAACCCATTTTGTTTTATTGATTTGGAGGACTGGGTTCTTGGCTGACGAGAAAGCGAAGGAAATTAAAAGAAATTTCGGATGTTTTGTCTTAAAATCTTAAGTTTAACGAAAAGAACTCAGTGTTTAATACTGCTTTTGCTAACATGGGTTATTTCTGAAGGGATCTTTCTTTTGGTTGTTACTTATTTGTTGATTTTGGGATTTTGGTCAGGGACCAGAGGAGTGAAGGAAATAAAGGGCAACGGAGTGAGGTGTTGCCAAAACCAATATCAAAAGATCCGTGTTCGAAACCAGAAACAAAGGCTTGTGGGAAAGTGCTTAACAAGAAGAGAAGCTATGCACAGTTTCATCTAGATTTAGGTCAATCTGATTTCAATCTCCGTACATGTTCAACATGTGGGGTTAAATATGCACCGGGTGATGAAGGTGATGAGAAGGAACATAAAATCTTTCACAAGAATTACACTCATGGAATTCAATTCAAGGTTGCATTTTTAGACAGATGGAATTTCTATATTTTTATCATTTCTTTCTTTTTATGTTTGTTTCGATTGAATTGAGAAGTTAATTTTATTTATAGGTTTTTCGGAGCGAAAGGGTCGTGCATATGCCTTGTAGTGAAGCGGGGCGTATTGTTTTGGTGTTGGATTCTGATCCTCCTGCACTGAGAAATAAGGTTTGGGTTCTTTTTCTCTCTCTTTTGGTTGCTGAATTCCATTATATGTGGAGCTGTAATGTAGTCAGGGAATTTTTGTAGTTTATGATGCTTGAGTTTACAGTTAAGAAAATTGAGTAAGTATCTTAATCTGGATGATGAACTTATTTGGCAGCTACAGGAGGTTATAAAGATGATGGAGATTGAGCTTGGAGATGGATGGATTTTTCATAAGCTTTGTAAGGTAACAGACTTAAGAATTTGTAGATTATAATCAAGTTGTTTCCTCCAAATGTTCAGGCTTTTGAATTTTTAAAATACTGTACTTGAACCAATTATTTGTTTCTGGTTTCTGATAGAATTGTTTATTTGCTTACTTATCCTGATGGTGTTTCTTGTTCATTGAATTTTCTTTCTAACTTTACCTGCTTATAGTTTGATTAGTTTTGTATAAAAAATGGGATTCCTTAACCTTAATCCTGTATTTTGAAAGTAGAACACTTATTGAAGCCCAGTTTTGTCTGCAAAATTGGTTTGCTTTAGACGACCGTTTACTAAAATATTATGCACCATTGTATTTGCAGGTGTATCTATTTGTTTCTTCCCAGAGAGTAGCTGGTTGTCTAGTTGCTGAACCAATAAAAGAAGCATTCAAAGTTCTTACATGTTCGGTGGATGAAAGACCTAAATGCGCTGCTAAAAAGAATTCAAGACCGAACTCCACGACTCTCCAATTTGGTGAAGTCATCTTACAAAGGGAAGCCATGAGAAAAGTTACTGCAGTTGATTCTCTTAACGTATTAAATGGGAACCACAATGGAGCTGTTGTTTGTGAAGAGGAAGCTGTACCTGCTCTCTGTGGCATCAGAGCAATCTGGGTTTCTCCCTCTAACAGAAGAAAACGCATTGCAAGCCAATTACTGGATGCTGCGAGGTAAATTTCATCCTTCCAGTTCTGTTAATTTCAATTGTAAATTTGTGATTTCCTCTATATTCCTGCAGTGAACTCATGTAGTTTATGGTCATTCTTCTGCATGTTATCTCGGAATATGCTTAATTCTTTGTCTAGTTCAATTATGGTATACCTTCAGTTCAATTGTCGTCTTTTCATTTTCTCACGGCAAACTGGTAATGCTTTGATTCCTCCTCTTTAATTGTTTACGAAATCTTTAAATGGCAAACTGGTAATGCTTTGATTCCTCTTTAATTGTTTACGAAATCTTTAAATAGGAGTGCCGAGTTTCTCAACAGAGTGAATGTGTTTTGCCTTTCCATTCTCAGCATCCCTTTTGTTGCAGCTACTTCACTGTCGCAATTCAGTTTTTTACATTTCAGCAGCTAACCCATTTCTCTTCTAAACGCAGGAGAAGTTTTTGCATGGGTTTTGTTCTCAAACAATCTCAGTTGGCATTCTCTCCACCAACCTCAGCCGGGAAGGCATTGGCATCTAGTTATGCTGGCACCACATCATTCTTGGCGTACAAACCTAAAAATATGGGCAGTTAAATGTTCCCCTTACATGGGTAGGATGAATTCTATTGATTTAACTGTTTATTGTTCGTTTTACTTGGTTTCCTGAATTTTGATGTTTATATTAATGATATTACAGTGACTACGGCCTTATTGAAGTTAAAATGAACTGGAAAACTTACTTTGCATCGAGCATTTTATCCAAATATAATGCCGCACTTGTGCTCTTCCTCCTCTAGTGTAGGGGAAGTTCATCTAGAAACGCAAATGTTGGTTCTTAGATAGACTGTGAATTGATCAATACACTATACTATAAATATAATTATCAAATATTTTAGCAAACAAAGAAAGCAGGTGGAACGGGTTCAAACCTTAAGCATTGAAAAATTAAAACCAACATCCCTACCATTCATTGAAATGGATAATAAATGATCTATTTGACGTGGCTTATATAGTGATAAAAATTAGCAAAGTGCCATAATTTGTTATATCATGAGATTTGCTAAAGAAAATTTCAGCTACTTCACACTTTACACAGGAGTTGACTTCACGTGCACCTTGGCCTTGGTTTCATTTTGTCCTGCACAATTACCTTCATCTGCATCTGCCTGAAGATACGAACCAAATACCTGCATAACTTGTTCATAGACTGGCTTCTTGGAACCAACAGCCTGCTCGATGAACAAAGAAGTATCAAACATCTAAACATGGATTTCTGGTTAAATGTTCCAAGAAATGTTTTACTCACAAGCTCCAATACTCGTTCCGGCAACAACCATGCCCAATCCTTAAATTCTGGAGTTTCACTTCCATCACCCAAAAGGTTGATCTCTTCCTCCTTCCCAGTAAACTTAAAAAGAAACCTGTTTTCAAAATTTCTATGAGCACTGAGCACTGAGCAAAGAGCAAGACATGGAAAGAAAGAGCCCACTAACAGAAAAAGAAACAAACAAAGACAAATGCTAGGTCAAACATCCAGTAGCTTGGTCTTTGAATCAAAACAGGGCAAGCCCCATACTTGTGCAATTATTTATCAGGAACTATAGATATATATTCAAAGCAAGTACGAAGAAAACAGTTGAGTTCTGATGATAAGTAAAGACAATTTGTAGAAAGAAAAAGACTCAATCCTGAGAATTATACAAAGGCAGAAACAGAGGCATGCCCCCACTTTACCATCATTCATGTTACCCAACAAAAGATGCTCAAAGAAACCATTTTTTTATAAGAAAAACAGTACATGGAATCACTTGTATTTGTGAATAACGGAGCAAAAGGCAATGGTCATAACAAAAGCCGAACTAAGAGCAACCAGAAATTGTAATCAGGAACAATATACAATACTATTACTGTTGTTGACACTCAAATTAGCTTAACAAACTTCCATTACATGTCAATAGACAAAATTCTCTTTCATTATATGGTCTTTTTCTATGTGATTGTATCCTTACCACTTCTGTGCTTGACCTTTGTAATTGGTACCCCATCGACGATTAATTCTCTCTCTGGCTTGTGATGGAAAGTCATAAGTGAGCCAGTACGGTGCCTACACATCCAATATCAAAACCCGTTCACTCAAACAAGTAGCAAAAAGCTCATCTTTCTGATTTCTTAGATGTTCATGTCACACACAACCCTAAAGATTGTATGTTAGAGATTACATTGTTAACACTTAACGAGTGGGAATAAAAAACTCACCTCTGCAACAAATTCAGCTGAAGTCACTCCTGTTTCTTCCCTCAGTTCCCTCATTGCCGCATTCCTTAGGTCTTCACCCTCACCAGCACCACCCTGTGGCCTTAGTGAAGTTAAAATGAACTGGAAAACTTTGCATCGAGCATTTTACCCAAATATAACGCCGCACTTGTGCTCTTCCTCTAGTGTAGGGTAAGTTCATCTAGAAACGCAAATGCTGGTTCTTAGATAGACTGTGAATTGATCAATAAACTCTTCTAAAATATACTGTAAATATAATCATCAAATATTTTAGCAAACAAAGAAAGCAGTTGGAACGGGTTCAAACCTTAACCATTGAAAAATTAAAACCAACATTCCTACCATTCATTGAAATGGATAATAAATGATCTATTTGACGTGGCTTATGTAGTGATAAAAATTAGCAAAGTGCCATAATTTGTTATATCACGAGATTTGCTAAAGAAAATTTCAGCTACTTCACACTTTACACAGGAGTTGACTTCACGTGCACCTTGGCCTTGGTTTCATTTTGTCCTGCACAATTACCTTCATCTGCATCTGCCTGAAGATACGAACCAAATACCTGCATAACTTGTTCATAGACTGGCTTCTTGGAACCAACAGCCTGCTCGATGAACAAAGAAGTATCAAACATCTAAACATGGATTTCTAGTTAAATGTTCCAAGAAATGTTTTACTCACAAGCTCCAATACTCGTTCCGGCAACAACCATGCCCAATCCTTAAATTCTGGAGTTTCACTTCCATCACCCAAAAGGTTGATCTCTTCCTCCTTCCCAGTAAACTTAAAAAGAAACCTGTTTTCAAAATTTCTATGAGCACTGAGCACTGAGCAAATAGCAAGACATGGAAAGAAAGAGCTCACTACCAGAAAAAGGAAAAAACAAAGACATACTAGGTGAAACATCCCGCAGCTTGGTCTTTGAATCAATACAGGGCAAGCCCCATACTTCTGCAATTATTTATCAGGAACTATAGATATATATTTAAAGCAAGTACGAAGAAAACAGTTGAGTTTTGATGAATAGTAAAGACAATTTGTAGAAAGAAAAAGACTCAATCCTGAGAATTATACAAAGGCAGAAACAGAGGCATGCCCCCACTTTACCATCATTCATGTTACCCAACAAAAGATGCTCAAAGAAACCATTTTTTTATAAGAAAAACTGTACATGGAATCACTTGTATTTGTGAATAACAGAGCAAAAAAGGCAGTAGTCATAACAAAAGCCGAACTAAGAGCAACCAGAAATCATAATCAGAAACAATATACAATACTGTTGTTGACACTCAAATTAGCTTAACAAACTTCCATTACATGTCAATAGACAAAATTCTCTTTCATTATATGGTCTTTTTCTATGTGATTGTATCCTTACCACTTCTGTGCTTGACCTTTGTAATTGGTACCCCATCGACGATTAATTCTCTCTCTGGCTTGTGATGGAAAGTCATAAGTGAGCCAGTACGGTGCCTACACATCCAATATCAAAACCCGTTCACTCAAACAAGTAGCAAAAAGCTCATCTTTCTGATTTCTTAGATGTTCATGTCACACACAACCCTAAAGATTGTATGTTAGAGATTACATTGTTAACACTTAACGAGTGGGAATAAAAAACTCACCTCTGCAACAAATTCAGCTGAAGTCACTCCTGTTTCTTCCCTCAGTTCCCTCATTGCCGCATTCCTTAGGTCTTCACCCTCACCAGCACCACCCTGTGATACACAATCTCATCAGCTGCTATACATTTTCATATCGTTTTTATTTCCAACAAAAATTCCTCACAAAGCCCATACACAAGCTTAACCATATATCGCAACAAGCAAAAAAGGCAGTTAAGACCTCCTACACCCATAACTCTGCTAGAAACCCACATATCTGACGCCTTACCGTACATCTAAAGTTTTTTCTGCTCTAAATCATTTCATGAACAATTCACATGTAAAACGCAAAATCAAATGCTAATCATTTCATGAACAATTCACCTGTAAAACTCAAAATCAAATGCTCTACTCCATCAATCCAACACCATTCAACAAGCAATTCCTTTAACAAGATAATTGAAATTCAACTCTTGCCATAAATTAGTAACAAAAGCCGAACTAAGAGCAACCAGAAATTGTAATCAGGAACAATATACAATACTATTACTGTTGTTGACACTCAAATTAGCTTAACAAACTTCCATTACATGTCAATAGACAAAATTCTCTTTCATTATATGGTCTTTTTCTATGTGATTGTATCCTTACCACTTCTGTGCTTGACCTTTGTAATTGGTACCCCATCGACGATTAATTCTCTCTCTGGCTTGTGATGGAAAGTCATAAGTGAGCCAGTACGGTGCCTACACATCCAATATCAAAACCCGTTCACTCAAACAAGTAGCAAAAAGCTCATCTTTCTGATTTCTTAGATGTTCATGTCACACACAACCCTAAAGATTGTATGTTAGAGATTACATTGTTAACACTTAACGAGTGGGAATAAAAAACTCACCTCTGCAACAAATTCAGCTGAAGTCACTCCTGTTTCTTCCCTCAGTTCCCTCATTGCCGCATTCCTTAGGTCTTCACCCTCACCAGCACCACCCTGTGACACACAATCTCATCAGCTGCTATATATTTTCATATCGTTTTTATTTCCAACAAAAATCCCTCACAAAGCCCACATACTAAGCTTAACCATACATCGCAACAAGCAAAAAATGCAGTTAAGACCTCCTACACCCATACCTAGAAACCCACATATCTGACGCCTTAACCGTACATCTAAAGTTTTGTCTGCTCTAAATCATTTCATGAACAATTCACATGTAAAACTCAAAATCAAATGCTCTACTCCATCAATCCAACACCATTCAACAAGCAATTCCTTTAACAAGATAATTGAAATTCAACTCTTGCCATAAATTAGAATTCAAAATCCACATTGAGAAATATCTACTAAAACCAATTCTCATCAATTCATGTCAAATCCCCCAAAATAGAATTGAATTCAAATTCCAGCATTGAAAATACCTACTACCTGAGGCATCTGCCACGTGTACGGAATGTTTATCCTGGAAGCAGTGAATATCTACAAGATTTAACACCCAAAACCATAAACCCTAATCACAAATTTAATTGAAAAGCAAAAAATCAAATTCAAATGAAACAGATAGAGAAATTAATTACTTTTTTAGAGGGATTAACGAGACAAATCCCCACATTCCTTCTATACCCATCCGGTGGCGTCTCCATTGACGGCGGCAACTCTCTTCTCCTGCTTCTCCTTTTACTCCTTGTTAACGATACGGCGGCGCAAGAAGATCCGGACAGTGGCACACTTGCAAATTTGTTCAAATTTACACAGCAATTTAGGCTTACAAACCGATAAATATACGAATTTCTGACAATACTATCACTCAACTCCATAATTTGTGGTTTTATAAAATAAAATATCTTGGTCTCCAAGCATCTACTACCTATATAAGTGTGCTTTTAGCTTTGTGTAAGCATAAAAAATATATTTTCAGTTGCACTTTAAAAAATATAATTAAAAAATTATGTATTTGATTAAAATTATTATGAAAAATAAATTATTTTAATTTTTATAAAATTAAGATTAAATATAATTATGCCCGGTTCAATGTAAAAAGTAAAAATTATTTGGCTAATAAAACAATTTTCTTTTGTAGTTAAACAAAAAAATATAAATTATCACAATACTAAATAGTCTCTTTATCACAATACTAAATAATCTCTTAAACCTTTTATCTAGTATAATTTACACATCTTTATCATTTTTCTATTATATAAATATTGTTATCATCTAATTTATAAAAAATTCAAATTTAAATTAATCCACGAGTTAACAATAAACCTAAATTCTCTAAACTTTTCAAATCATGAACCAAGTTTTATTTAAAAATAAATAAATATATTTAAATTATTTCTATTTAATTCACGAGCCTCCAAACTTATTCAAGTTTTAATCATGCTAATCTAACTTAGTAAGATATTTAAATTGTTTTGCTCGAGCTTTTGTTATTGGACCATCTAAATGCCCATACTCATTAGATGCAGTCCCTTCCACATTAGGATCATAATACATATCATCACTCTCAGGTTGAAAGTGATTTGTCCTCGAATAAAATTGTCAACATCTTTAAATAAGTTGACAAATTTTTACATTAATGACGATTGAAACATTGTACTTATTCAAAATGAAAACCATAGGATTAATAAAAATAATAAAATCATTGTAATTATAGTTTAATGGTATGGAAAAAAATGATAAAAAAATAAACTAAAAAAAAGTGTTAAAAAGATGGAAGAAGAAAACTTTTTTAGTTAAAAATATCAAATTTTCTAGTATAAAAAACAATTAAGCCATTTTGAGATATGACTAGATCAATTTGCTTAATTGGTTGGACCATTTTTCAAATAATCAAACCGTTTTGGTTTTTCTCTTTATAAAATTGACAAGGTGTTGCTTTGGAAAAAAAAAATACTATTTTTTATTTTTTTTTATTCTTACACTTTTAAAAGCTAGAGAGTAAAATTAAAAATGAAAAAAGAGTGCTTTAAGAGATAAAAACACTTTCACTTTTGGAATTAAAAAACATCAAGGAGAGAAAATATTGAGTTAGAGAGAGAAGGGAAGAAAATAGAGAAAAATAAAAAAACATGAAATATTTTGACTTTTTAGGGTTTGAAAACTCGATTATCATTTGGCAAGGAGTTCTAAACCTAACCTAGAAATTTTATATGAAATGGATAACAATTGAGGTTCAAATAATGAAATTAATGCTATGCTTTAGAGTGAATTTTTTGAAAAAATATAAATTGACCATGGATTGATCAATTAGGTTAAAATAAGCTGTGTTGGTTATTAATACAGGTAGAAATGATGAAGAAAACCATGAGGTTCTTAAGGACCCATGACCGACCAATGAGGGGTTATATTACATGAAATAGAATTGTATGTAGTAAGTGATATCATAGTAGATTAATGTATATATTATGAAGGAAATGATTTTAAAGGAGTTTTGTTACATTATGTAGATTGACTTGAGAGTTTATATTGCTTAAATTTATGAAATTTAGGGTGAATTATTGAACCTAAAGATGAATATAATTGTGAACATGTTTGACTTTTCATGCTAAGGAAAGATATATAAAAAAATTGATGTAAATGTGATAATATTTGTGTGATATAATACATGTATGACTATGATAATACAAATGCAAAACTATAGATGTTAATAGCATTATTATTGAGTTTTGTTAGAACTTTTTATGTGTTTGGAAGAACATGTTAGGAAAT